TCAAACTTTATTTTTAATTTATACAAAAAAAAAATAAAGTTTAAATCAAATTATACGCTTGAGATGTTTGAAGTTAACTAAATGTAGAAGTACTGTACGTACGTACGTACGTACGTAACGTACATTGTTTTTAATTAATCTAATTGAGCCGTATAAAATTGATTTGTAATGATACTAAAATAATTTATGGAAATCATGTAAACAACATCTACATTAACGACTATGATTTTGTTCGATATTTATCTTTCGAATTTGCTTGAGCAAATGCGTTTTAATTTGAGTGTTTTGTGTATTCTTATGAATGCCACTTTTCCTTTTTAAACTTGTACTGTACGTACGTACGTACGTACCTATGTAACATAATCTTAATTTGCTTAAAATAATTTTATATTTCATTTCATCGATTTAAAAATCAATAACACAAGTTATCATTTGGCTGTAGTAGTGAGTTGTATTTGTGTTTGAAATCACGGTATAATTACGTTCGATTACATATTCATCTAATTCTCTAATTATCATCTTACTAATAGACTATTTCTTGAACTTTTTATAGAGTTCCTCAGCAGTTGGACAATCCTTCAAGTTCGCATCCCAAGACTTTTTCATAACATTCACATAGAATTGCAGAATAACCTTATCAACAGATAGTCTGAATCCTTTAAGTATTTTTAATACCTGACCAGGAATATCATTTATTTCATATCGATTTGTTACTGGTTTACCATATAGCACTTCCCAGATGATCATACTAAAACTATAAATATCAGATTCTACAGTATACTTTTTCTTTTCAAGAATCTCTAGAGCAACAAATGGCAAGATACCGTAAACTTTTCCATCATTCTTTTTCATATATTGGATTGAGAGGCCTAGATTAGCAATATATACGCTATTCAGATCATCTTGTAATATGTTACCACTATGAAGATTTTAATATATGATTTTGTTAGAATGGATCACTCTCAGATCATAATATATGCTGAGTAGCAAACTGAGCTTAGAATTCTACAACTTTTTTGATAGTTCACCAAGATTATCACGTAGAGAACCTAATGATGCGCATTTTAATACGAGAATATATCTTTTTTTCTTGTTTCTTGATATTCCATGATATTTCATAAATGATGAATTATCGGCTCCGATCTTGCAATATGCTTTCACCTCATTCAACCAATCATCTCTATTAAATTTCTTAGCATAATAGTGTCTATTATTTTTTTTATATCATAATTTTCTTAAATTTTTTTTTCTATATTGCGCTGAACACAGTTGCAAAACCACCTCTTTCAATCTCTTTAACATTTTTAAATTCATAAGGTATCTAAGCTAATTTGTATTTATTATTGTTTAGTAATATTTTTAACTTATCATCAATATCAATATCTTTGTATTCTGATCTGATAATCAAACGAGATTTGTCCTTTTCTTTTTGAAACCAATATTTTGCTTTTTTAATATTTATTTGAACTCCAATACCATTCCGATAACAATGTCAAACATGTATCATTCCTTCAGTATCACCCACATCAGCAGCTTTTTGATAATAGGTTAATACATTGCATTCATCCTTTTCAACTCTAATTCCTTTCTTATAATGTAGACCAACTATAACCATCCCAGTAACATACCCCATATCAGCAGATTTTTGATAATAAATAAATGCCTTATGTTCATTTTTTTCAACTCCAAATATATTCTGATAACAACGACCAGTATTATATATTTCACCAGCGATACCCATCTCTGCAGATTTTTGATAATAAACGAATGCCTTGTATTTATTCTTTTCGACTCCAATTCCATATTCATAACAACATCCAATATGAGATATTCTATCAGCATTTTCCATTTTTGCCAATTTTTGATAATAAATAAAAGCTTTATGTTCATCTTTGTCAATACCAATTCCAATTTCATAACAATATCCCATGTTATATATTCCTCTAACATGACCTATCTCTGCAGATTTTTGATAATTTTTAAACATTTCAATATAATTTTCACTGGTAAGATATTTCGAAACCAATTTAAAAAATAGCAAATCCTTATCATTTTCATTGACAATACTTTCTAGTATCTGGTTTAAAACATTGATCAACAACGAAAAGACCACTTATATCTTGTATTGCAGCTCTCTGAAAGTACATATGAGCATCTTGTACGTTCTTTATGACTCTGATACCGTGAGAGTAATAGTAACCAACCATGTATGTGCTTTCTGGTAGTCTTTGGTCAAAAGATTTCTTGTAGAAGTTGAACGCTTTTTCATGATCAATAGCAATACCTATTCTATACTAATAATAATGACTGAGAGAGAAAATCGCTAAGAGATGGTCATAATTGAAAGCGGCCTTCTGGTAGCATTCGAACGCAACTCTTTGTTCTTCTCAACACTCATATCATGATGATATGCATATCCGAGATTATAATCTTTGGATGTATAATATTTTTTAGTATTCATTTTTTTTTTTTTTTTTTGAAAACATCTTACAATACTTTCATTTAGAAACAAAGTAACATTCAAAAAACAAAATAAAAAAGGATTTATGCTATCACTCATATGCATACACAATTTTTATTCAAATATATAAAATTGAAATTTAGTCTATGGCTACGTAGATGCATATGATAATTTTTTTTTACATAAGAAAATCTAAATTACTGTGGATAATAGTAAGTAATTTTAAAAATTTAAGGGAAGGGTGATTTACAATAAAAATAATTTATTTTTGCAAATAACAATTATAGATATTTATAAACAACAAATTTTATTAAATATATACAAGTACAAATATGCACTCTTTAAGTATCACTTGCATTTTTGCACTGTCGAAATTTTTTCGAATAATATAAAAATTTTCCCTGCCTCCCACCTATCTGAATCTGATGCTCATTTATAATAAAAAAAAATATACAAGCCTAATACTGTAATACACGTTTTAGTAATAAATATAATACAAATATTTTTTTATTTATGATTTACATGTGTTAAAGCATTTTTTGATTTACATGTGTTTACAACTTACGTATTTAAAAATTCATATATTTTTTATAAAAAATTACATTATGAATAATCTTTTAAAATTTTATCACGTTTTTCTTTCATTCTAGCTAACTTCAATATATTTTCATCATAAATATCTTGAAAATTGAATCTGAAAAGTCAATACTAATCAGATTATATATTGGTCCAAGCACCAAAGTCAGGCATTAACTTGATTCAAATATTTTAATAAAATATTTTGTGCTCTGTTAAAGTCACGGTCTATAACTAACTTGCATGAGTCATATTTAAAAATTTTGTTTTCTCCAAGGTTGTGTTTTATATATCCACAGTTACCACAGGTCTTGAAGGTGTACTCTTTGGTACAGAGGACCAATCTATGATTGGGATACTCTCTGACCTTGTAGATCAAGAACTAATGGAACTGAAAGTAAGACCATGTAAGCATGGCTCTAGCTGTCTTTGATCGAATCTTTTGCTTGTTTTTGATTACCATCTTTGAGGATTTGAATATCGGCAATAATATGTGTTCATAGTTCTTATACAACCAACTTGCTAGTTGGTGGTGATATTCATCAACAAGATTTCTGAATCTAAATATGATTCAGTACATCTTTCTGTATAAATGATATCTCTTTCGTTTATTGGACCTTTCCAGAGCCTTAGCTCTGTTGCTCTACAACTTGTCTTATATCTTTGAAAGTTTGAATATCTTGCTTAGGTCACTCTTTCTCCACTCGACAACCTATTCAGATAGGTCATACATCTGGATCCAAAGAAATAATACCTCGAATGTCTTGGTCATTGATATTGAGTGGTATCGATACTATACATGCTGACGAAATTATTTTAGGTTTTGGGGTACGAAATTAAAATTTGAAGACAAAATTGTTTTTAACCTATTTTACTTAAAAGATGAAATGTTTTAACACTTTTTTTGAAAAGACGAAATTATAAATTAGATTTGCTCTTGCATATAAAAAATTCCAAATTGCTCTAATAGAAACGAATTAGAGTTTTTTTGAAACCCTATTTTGGTGGTATATATAATCGGTACGCATAGGTAGAAATGACCCAACCTGTTCATACTTATATTTACTGTGTGTTTGACTGGTAGTACTTTTTGTGTAGCAATTATTGTTTTCAAGAAAGTGTATACTCTACTTGATTGGTTCTAATCTCTAGCAACAATTAATATGGTTTGTAATCGATCTTTTTTAGTTCGATACTTTATCCTGAAGTTATTTCTATAAACCTTTTTGTTTGTTTTATATATGCTGATCAATTGACAGATTGCTTGTAAGCGTATTTTTCTTGATATTTCTTTAACACTACTTGGGTTTATTAATTAACACTTCATTGTTCAAGTAGTAACGGTTGATTATATTCACGTTGAATATATGGTCATCTTAAACCATCTCAAAGACCTTGTTGTATATCCATCTCACTATACCCATCTCATAGTTTGTTTGATATCTCTTTATTCCAAAAAGAAAGGTTGGGTTTTTTGTTTTCAGTGTCTAAAAGTTTTTTTCTTTTTCTTTTCATTATAAATTGATTCATTATATAAATAAAAAACACGTAAAATTTTTAAAACTTTGCGCAAGCTATATCACATGAATATTTAGAATTTAATTATGTTTTTACGTACAAGTGCAAATACTTGCTCTTTTAAGTATCACTTGCATATTTGCACAGTTAATACGTTGTAATTGACGGAACAGACAATATATTGTATCATGAGAAAATCGATAAGTATTGTAATCAATTTTTGGTTGATATATCAAACATATCTCTGTATATGTTTTGATTGGTTTAGGAATTATTTATTCAAAATTTCAAATTTGATCAATCGATCGAATTTTAAATAACCAATTAAATCAAAAATAAATATAAAAATGTTTTTATTTACTGTTTATTTTTATATACAAATCTGAATATTGTGTTTGAAAATTCTAGAATTTACATGTTGTTTATTTGATTCACAATACAAAAATCAAAATATTGTACTAGAAAACTCTTTAATGATCTCATCATGCAATTCCTTTATTTTAATTAACTTTTTCATATTACTATCATAAATATGTTTAATATCACTAAATTTTTTATTTTCATTAGTATCTGCTAATAATAAATTTATACATTGTTCCAGATGTTCACATGAAATCACTGATATCTCCTCATAATGGAGGAAACACTTTTTATATTTTTGCTCAAGTATTTTATACTTTTGCTCAAAAGTTTTGTTGTTTATTTCAGAATCTTTTACTTTGATGATCTCTGTTATACTCAGTTGGTCGTAAACAACATGTTTATTTTCAACTTGGGAATATGGAGAATATGATTCGAATTTATTTCCTTTGTACAATTCAACTTCCATTGATTTTGAATATCTATTTCTATAATATTCAGAAATCACATATTTAATATATTTAGGTTTTTTCTGGCTCTAATATATACAATTCGGTTGTGTACAATATACAAGACCTTCTTCTTCTTTGTAGCATCCACAGAATGATTAAATCTTTATTTTTTTTATTATAGAACTGAAGAAAAAAGTTACATTTTTATATTAAAAAATAATATAAAACATAATCAGGAGATCAGTCTTTTTTATTATAAACTGTTTCAAAATCGTAAAAATTCATCGAAAGTCGGATCACATCAAACAATAAAATCAAACTTTTTCTAAAAAAGTTTGAAAAAGTCTAAAAATTTTATTTATTTTCGTGACAGAAAAATAATATATTTTTGTGAAGAATTTTAAAGAACATAGGGATTAGTTTAATAACTAAACTATACTCATTAAATTCTACTTTAAGTTTTAAACCCTGAGAAGGCATACCAACATAACTATAGTACAAAAGTTTAAAATTATAATTATTAAGCTCAAACAATTTAAATAGAATATTATTTCTTATAATAGTAAACTTTAAAAGTTTTTTATCAGGAGATAACTCAAGTTGAAAACTAAATAAACATTTTGTAAAAACATTAAAATATTTGTAAGTTCTAATTAAACTTGTATTGACTCAATAATCTCTTTATATCTTGAAAGATTGAATCCAAAAAGTCAATACCAATCGGATCCTATGTAGGTCCAAGCCCCAAAGTTAGATATTAACCTGACCCAAATATTTTAATAAAATATTTCTTGCTCTGTTAAAGTCATGATCTATAACCAAATAACATCGATCACATATGAAAACTTTATTTTCACCAAGATTGTGTTTGATGTATCTATAGTTATTACAGGTTTTTGAGATATATTCTTTAGTATATAATATGAGTCTCTGACTAGAATACTCGCATATTTTGTGTATCAAAAACTGTCTAAAGCAAAAGTGAGACCATGTGAATATAGCTCTAGCTGTCTTTGATCGAATCTTTTGCTTGTTCTTGATCACCATATTTGATGATATGAATATAGGTAACAAAATGTACTCGTAATTCTTGCACAACTAGTTTGCAAGTTGGTGGTGAAACTTATTGATCATATTTCAGATCTGAAATATGATTCAGTATATTTTTTTGTATAGATGATATCTCTTTCGTTTATTTGACCTTTCTAGAGCAAGGTCTTTGTCACTATATAACTTGTTATATCTAATCGACAGCTTGAATATCTTATCAAAGTCACTATTTCCCCATTCAACAACTTGACTAGATAGGTCATAACTGGTTATGAAAGTGTGTACTCTCAGATCCAAAGAAATGATATCTCGAACATCTTGGTTATCAATGTTTAGAGATATCAGTATATATAGGTAGAATTGTTCCAATCTGTTCATTGTTATGTTTACAGTATATTTGATAGGTAGAACT